GCTTGACTCGCTCAAACTTCTCGTAACCTTGACTCGCTCAAACTTCTCGTAACCTTGACTCGCCCAAACTTCTCGTAACTTGACTCGCTCAAACTTCTCGTAACCTTGACTCGCTTAAACTTCTCGTAACCTTGACTCGCTCAAACTTCTCGTAACTTGACTCCCTCAAACTTCTCGTAACCTTGATTCGCTCAAACTTCTCGTAACTTGATTCCCTCAAACTTCCCGTAACCTTGACTCGCTCAAACCTCTCGTAACCTTGACTCGCTCAAACTTCTCGTAACCTTGACTCGCTCAAACTTCTCGTAACTTGACTCGCTCAAACTTCTCGTAACCTTGACTCACTCAAACTTCTCGTAACTTGACTCGCTCAAACTTCTCGTAACCTTGACTCACTTAAACTTCTCATAACTTGACTCACTCAAACCTCTCGTAACCTTGACTCGCTCAAACTTCTCGTAACCTTGACTCGCTCAAACTTCTCTTAACTTGACTCCCTCAAACTTCTCGTAACTTTGACTCGCTCAAACTTCTCGTAACTTCACTCGCTCAAACTTCTTGTAACCTTGACTCACTCAAACTTCTCGTAACTTGACTCGCTCAAACTTCTCGTAGCCTTGACTCGCTCAAACCTCTCGTAACTTGACTCGCTCAAACTTCTCGTAACCTTGACTCGCTCAAACTTCTCTTGACTTGACTCGCTCAAACTTCTCGTAACCTTGACTCGCTCAAACTTCTCGTAACTTGACTCGCTCAAACTTCTCGTAACCTTGACTCGCTCAAACCTCTCCTAACCTTGACTCGCTCAAACTTCTCGTAACCTTGACTCGCCCAAACTTCTCGTAACCTTGACTCGCTTAAACTTCTCGTAACTTGACTCGCTCAAACTTCTCGTAACCTTGACTCGTTCAAACCTCTCGTAACTTGACTCGCTCAAACATCTCGTAACCTTGACTCGCTCAAACTTCTCGTAACCTTGACTCGCTCAAACTTGTCGTAACTTGACTCGCTCTGACTTGTTGTTGAATCAGTCACTATCTCTTCTTCCTGTAGCTCACAGTCTGGTAGATTCTTTGCACACCCGTTCCCCGGCAAGTGGTTTTCTACCGTGAAGTAGAACGATTTTCCTGAATGAATTTGTCAGAAATGATGTTGTGCCGAGTCTCCGTTCCCTCAAATTTTTCCACGCTCTTCGCTCGTAACTCACAAAACTTCACCTCACTTCCTGTACCCGTGCCCAAATCTTTCATTATATACGGACGCAAGGTGCGAGAAAAAAGGGAAGAAAACTATTGAATTTAGAGAATAAAGGTTAATTACACAAGTAACGAATACGAATACCACACACTAGACATATCCTAATTCTTTTGAATGCTTTCATGACAGGGCCCTTACATGGGAATCGGAAATAATCAACGCATTTTGAACCACTTTGCCCATGATTGCCCCACTATTCAAACTCATAGAATATTCATGATCCCACGTGATGACGCAATAAGCATTATGTAAGACATTGTTAATTTATGTAAGGGTTTCGTTGGTAACGGTCAGCTTCAGAGAAAGTTGCCCCAACCCAACCCAACCAACCCTACCTATCCTGCTCATATATCAGCAACCCGTGCAACTTCCTTGTTGTTACTTCGACAGAGAGGAGGTTAATTAGGCAGCAGGAGGAATACTGAACAATGGAAACTGCAAAACAAAAAACTGAGAAAGAAGAGAATAGGAAGGAAAAAAACACAACCACACCCCTTGAAAGTCTTAGACGCTGATGAAGATTGTACTGTACATGTCTCTAATTAGCAAGGAAATTTTTGTCTTTAGATCCAGCAAAGTTCTGGGGGCGAAAGAAAATATAAAGGTCCACTGAATTGTGCCAAACAACTTTACAAGGAAAAAGGAATAAGATCTTTGTATAGGGGAACGTTCGCAACTCTTCTAAGAGGTGGGTACTTCAAATTTAGTGACTGTTAGCCTGCGAGTCAGCCCTCTCTAGAAGCTTGAATGACGTTTCTACGCCTGCGGGAAGATTGGAGACGAGTCGGGGAGAGGTTTGCCGGGGTCTTGCACCAGGAATCAGTGCCAGACCCCTTCTAGACCTCTCGCCGCCTCGTTCGCGCCGTAGTGCTAAAACTGAGGGCTTGGTTGCAGGGTATGTGACCGTTGATTGCCTTTTTGTAGGACATGAAGGTGAAAGGAGAGATCATTTTATGGCTGAAAAAGTTTGAGAGATGCCGGTTGTTACTTTGTAGACATAGACTTGACTTAGAAACTATTTTGATAAGTTCAAACTCGTGGAATAATAGTTCCGAATTTCAGCCCTTTCTACTTGAACGATGTTATATAATGAATCAAGGGTACTTGGAGAACAGCAAGAATTGTCCGTATCGCGTATGGCTTCTACATGTGTTAGTTTGCGTGCAATTTACTCTATTGGTATTGGACAATACTAACACTTTAATTATAATTATCGAAGGCAGAGGGACGGAGAAGAGAAATCCAAATTTCTTATATGTTTCAAGATATCATATCTTAATTTTCCTATGTTGTAATTCACAGATGTGCCAAGTATAGGGGTATACTTCTGCAGTTATGAATGGATTCTTAACAAACTTACATTAGAAGGCGAAAGGTTTGTTAAGAATTATTAATGTAAGATCCTACGAACACGTCCGGATAACATTCGCTAGGAAAACGTGAGTGAGCAGGTCGCGATTGGTTCAAGAGCGCTCTTCGATTGAGTGTCAAAAACAAAACCAAAGTATTTTCAACGGCCATTAAAGAAGAAAGGAAAATACCTTAAAGAGCCAGTGAGAACTCAAAGTAAGAACAAACAAACCGCCCAAAGCGCGGGAAAACGCGGGCGACCAAACCGTGGTTGGTTTTAGTTTTGCATTTGATTGGTTGAGAGAGTTGGTACAGTTTTCTGGGCCAATCACAGAGTGAATAAAGCAAGACTAATGCAATCCCGGGCTACTTTGGACATCCAATTAAAAATTGCTCTAGTTTTGAATCTAATTCGGTTAGAAAATGGTGTGTGTGTTCTGCACCAAAACAGAGTGAACCAAATCAAAACAAAACAGTCCTGAATTTCTTTCAGTTGTAATTTCTCTATTCCGAAAGATGTTCTCCTTAGCACTCTTAGTTGCAGATTTTTATGACATACTCCTACTGAGTGCCCTCGCCATTTTAGTATCCGTATCCCTAACCTAAGTTTTTGCCATGCGTGTCGCATTATTACAGCTCCCAATCATTTCTCCTTCTATTTTACCATTTTCAGCCGTGAAAATTTAAACCCACTTAGAATCTTTGTAGCTGGAGGTAAGTACCTTTTCAGATGTTACCTATTCCTGTTGATGCATGTACCTTCTTCTGGGCATACTTTAAGGGTTCTGTTTTGTGTACGCTGAAACATATTCGGAGAAAATGGTCTCGGACGGTGTTGTGAGCAGAATGATAGGGCGACTGAATTTAGAGCGGTGATCAAATTTCTTCGCGATCCACGTGTATATCGCCTTGTGTGTCTCTGGCTGAAGCAACAGTATTTAGAACTTTTATACAGTACATAGCAATATTTTCCTGATTTCTGTTCAATGATGGAGAAAAATCTTCAAGATTAATCTATTAATCTCGTGCTCTCCGACCTTTATTAGGTTTGACAGGTATGATTTGCTGGGCTTCCATTATTCCTGTTGATGTACTCAAGTCACGCTATCAAACAGGTAAGCAAGTCAATAGTCGACGAGGAACTAACTCATGTGTGGCCAGCGGGTGCAGACGTATTTCTTGTTGCTTCTCCCCGTCTGTGTTCACAAACTTACTCTTGAAATGAAAAGAGGGTACCATGTACCTCTTTTTTAAAATCAGTCACGTAATAACTTTTTTGCCTTTTTTAATTTCACGCTACGCATCACGAATAAAATCCAAAAACTCTTTCACGTTGACGCGAATTTAAAACTCTTTCACGTTTACGCGAATTTAACTCTTTCACGTTTACGCGAATTTAAAACTCTTTCACGTTTACGCGAATTTAAAACTCTTTCACTTTTACGCGAATTTCGAGGACAATCACGTTGTGTAAGTATTTTTTCTACTCTAGACAAGTCTTACGCTACAAAAGATGACATAATGTCTTATCTTATTTGTTCAAGAACTATTATGGGTCTGTTTTATGACTTTTATCGATCTATATAAAGCCCATCTCCCGTCAAAACCCTGGTCAAAACCTTACCACGGCCGTTCGAGAACAATACGTACTTTTCCAAAACCATAGAATAGCCAGAAATTTATCACGCAAAACAAAATAGTTTACGGATTATGTTTGATCCAGCTTTTAATGCACGGGTCACGTTTGAATAAAAAAATTCGTTTACGTGAACATGAAAAGATCTTATGATCTTCACTCGCGATTCACGAATGAAAAAGATCCCAGTCACCCTTCACGAAGAGTCTCGGGTACCCTCTAAAAACCGTACCCGTTGGCGAAGAAACGTGAGAAATTCAAGCAAATTCAACCGGATGTTACTAAGCGTAGCCAGTCAGATTGCGGTGTTCTTCTTTAGCTGCGAATACATATAAGTCAAACCAAGTAGGCTAAAATACATCCTAAAATTACTATTCCATTGTGCTTTAACTTGGGTCCATTTGTCTTTTCGATTTGCTCGCGGGGTCAGGCGGTTGGACCCAAGGTTTGGATGGATTTGACTTGCATTGTTTAATGCCGGAACACATCAACAACGCTTTACATAATTCTGTGCAGAGGTCAAATTAGCTCAACTTTTGGTTGGCTATCGAACAATAAACTGTCAGAGAATGCAAGCATGATATATTCCGATTTCTAGGAATGAAAAATTTTATGGGCGTGTGTTTAGAAGTCTGAACGCAGCTGCGATGGAATCGTTTTTAAAAAACCTCCAGGAGCAAGTGACTTGTTCGATTTGCCTCGATACCTATAAGAAACCCAAGATCATATCATGCCTTCACACATTTTGCTGCAACTGTCTCAAGAAACATGCACTGACCAGCCAAAGAAATGGGAAATATCGGTGTCCCGAATGCCAAGCGCCAATTGATTTACCCAAAGACAACAGCTTCGACAGTTTACCGACCAGTTTCTTCCACAACAGTCTTTTGAGTGTACTTGCAGTTCGACAGATTGGCGATGGAAGGAGTATCACATGTTCGCAGTGTAGGAAAAACAATTCTCGAATGCATTACTGTTTTGACTGCGGACTTTTCATGTGCCCTGATATTCTGAACGCACACGAAGTATTGAAAACTTCGTTCGAAGGACACAAAGTGATTTCGGTGAAAGAGTTTAAAGCAGAAGATTATGAATTGTTGTTAAGACGGCAACCGTTTTGCTCGCAGCAGTTTCACGAGAAGGAAATCATGCGTTTCTTTTGTGTTCCGTGTCAAAGCTGCATTTGCCACATTTGCATTGTCACAGATCACCGAAACCATGAAGTTGTTGTGCTTGACAAAGCGGCCCAAGATGAGAAACACAATATTATCACCGGCACAGAGTCCATTAAAGAGAAAATAAAGGAACTAAATGCGGACATTCGACAACTAGAAGAAACGACCTCCGTGATGGAAAGCAATGTTTCAAAAGCTAAGCGTGAAGTCATGGAAGCTGCAGAACAGATGATCACGAAGATCCGTGCGTGCGAGCGAGAGGTGATTACCTCTATCGAGACCACGCGCGCGAAGAGACTGGAGCGAATCGATTCCGCCAAACAAGACATTTTGTCTCTACTCAAACAATTGAACCAAGCGGTCGACTTCGCTGATAATATAGTGAAGAGAAGCTCAAGCACGGATATCATGCAAAACAAAGGTACTTTGAAAGAGAGATTCGAGGAGTTGAGTGCTATCTATCACGAAGTTCCAAAACATGGCGATATTGTATATGTTAAATTTACTCCGGCCTCCTTGGCGAACCTAACATTCGGATCTGTTCAGAAGACTAAAAAGGCAGATGTAAAGGAATCAACGCTTCAAGGAATAGATCAACCTTTACGGGCAAGTGTAGAAGCAGACTTCTCATTGTGCCCCAAAACATCTTCTGGTGAGATATGTGACATGAAGTCAAAACAAATTGAGTTTCTGGTTGAGCCCGCTGATGCGGCATCAAAGACATCTGTGAACGAGAACGAAGAAGGAACATTCCAATTAAAGTTTACACCCAAAGTGCCTGGAGAATACAGTTTGGAAGTGAAAATAAATGGAGAGAAACTTGCTATTTGTCCAATAACTGTACTCGTGAAAGAATGCGAGCTTGCTGTGGTTGGTGAACTGGATCTGAATTTTTTCCCTGGTGACAAACTGCAAGGGCCCTTTGGTATCGCACTCAATAAAGAAGGAACTATTGTAGTGGTAGATTATTCTGGCTACAGTGTTTATGTATTTGACAGCGAAAGAACCTGTTTGCGAAAACTCGGCCCGTTTAAGCACCCTTTCGATGTTGCTTTTGTTGATGATGAAGAAATTCTGGTCTCGGACTATGGTAATCACAGAATATATCAGTATAATACACGAACTGGAGAGTACATAAAAAGGTTAGGAAGACCTGGTACAGGAAAAGGAGAGTTTACAAATCCAATTGGACTTTTCATGGATGACAAAGAGCAAATTGTCATTTGCGACTACGGTAATAATAGAATACAAGTTCTGACAAAGGATGGAGTGAATATCTTTACGTTTGGAGACACTGGGCCAGAAAAACTCAGTCGTCCTCTGAGTTGTATTAGTCATAAAGGTAGATTCTTTGTGTCTGACAATTGTTGCATCAAAGTGTTCGACCAGACAGGACAATTTTTATACAAATTTGGAAGTAAAGGAATGGTAAACGGTCAGTTTGGTAGACCTTCTGGTCTGCATATAGACAGGCAGGATTGTCTTCTTGTATGTGACCAGAATAGTGGCCGATTTCAAAAGTTTTCCCTTGACGGTCGTTTTATTGGCAAGTGCACTACTCCTGGGTTAACAAACCTGAATGGTGTCGCGGAAATGCCAGATGGACGCATTCTCGTTACAAGCACAAATGCTGCGAAAGTCCATATCATCACAACAAAGTAGTTACCCTTATCATGAGGGCCGTTTTTAGTCGCGAGCATTGTCGCATTTCGAGTCTGCTTTGTACCGGTAAATATTCATTAGTATAATTTGGAGACCGAAGGACACTAAACTGAATTTAATTCAACAATTTATGGATATTAGAGAGTGAACCTCCCTACAACTTAACCGTTCAGATTTAGATTTTGCTCCGTCGGACGTTAATTAAAGACATGTGTAATGATGGTAACGTTAAGCTAAGCATTCATTACCTGATGGTTCGAAACTGAGGCAAAGTACTCACAAAGTACCAGTAAAAAGATTAATAAACTTCCCAGTTTTCTAGACCAAGTTCTCTCTCCATCTTAAAATTTTCTTAACTTGATGGTGATTTACTTTTATTGATGGTGATCTTTTATTCAGATGATTCCTTTCCGTCCATTAAAATTTTCTTGAATGGTCGGGAGCGGCTGAGAGTTCCTTCCTTTCATTTCCTGCGGATGCCTTGGACTCAGTGTGTAACGAAATTCGCTTGACTCCTGCTTTGCGCACGCCTCTCCCCTCTGCTGTGAGGAAATGGAAGCTGCTGCTTTATTGGGCTCCTGATCCGGCACAGTGAGACGTATCTAAAGCTTAAACCAAATTATTTACAAGTGGTTTTGCTTTCATACCTGAGCAATTAAAGACAAATTGGAACACGGTAAATTTTCTTTCGGGGCTTTAGAGTGTTGAGGTATGAAGGTAGAGCATCAGTTATAGTCATCTTGTTATGATGAAGTTCGGAATTTTGACCATCTATCCTTTACTTTACCTTTGCGAAATAATCTCATCCGTTCAATTCGTAAAGGGGACGAGTAGAGAGAAGCTGTACTTTCATACATGCCTCTGTTCAAATGATACAATCTTTTTAAATCCAATTTTAATGCGTGTTCTGTCTTAGCGGCTTTTCTAGGGTCGAACCCTTTATCTTATGCTCAACCTGTGGTGATGATTGGGTCCATTTTAATTCTCGTCTTTTCAATTAGCTCGCGGGGTCAGACGGATTTGATTTTTTTATTTAACGATTGTAACTGTATAGTTTTGAATTCTTTTATGGTGGGACACATCAACAACACTTTATATATTTAGAACTTTGCCGATGGGTCAAATTAGCTCAACTTTTAGTTGGCTATTAAACTATCAGAGAATGCAGGTATATTATATTCCGATTTCTGGAAATCAATAAATAATTTATGGCACGTGTCGTGTATAGAAGCCTGTTTCGCTTGATAGGCAACTCAGCTGTGATGAATCGTTTTTAAAAAACCTACAGGAGCAGGTGACTTGTTCGATTTGCCTCGATACCTATAAGGAACCCAAGATTATATCATGCCTTCACACATTTTGCTGCAACTGTCTCAAGAAACATGCTCTTACCAGCCATAGAAACGGGAAATATCGGTGTCCCGAATGCCAAGCGCCGATCGATTTACCCAATGATAACTGCTTCGACAGTTTGCCGACCAGTTTCTTCCACAATAGTCTTTTGAGTGTCCTTGCAGTTCGACAGATTGGCGATGGAAAGAGTATTACTTGCTCGCAGTGCAGGAAAAACAATTCTCAAATACATTACTGTTTCGACTGCGGACATTTCATGTGCCCTGACTGTCTGAACGCACACGAAGTACTGAAGACTCCGTTCGAAGGACACAAAGTGATTTCAGTGAAAGAGTTTAAAGCAGAAAATTACGAAGCGCTGTTAAGACGGCAACCGTTTTGCTCGCAGCAGTTTCACGAGAAGGAAATCATGAGTTTCTTTTGTGTTGAGTGTCAGAGTTGCGTTTGCCACATTTGCATCGTCGTTGATCACCGAAACCATGGAGTTGATGTGCTTGACAAAGCAGCCCAAGATGAGAAACACAATATCATCACCGGTACAGAGTCCATCAAAGAGAAAATAAAGAAACTAAATGCGGACATTCGACAACTTGAAGAAACGACCTCCGTGATGGAAAGAAATGTTACAAAAGCTAAGCGTAAAGTCATGGAAGCTGCGGAACAGATGATCACGAAGATCCGTGCGCACGAGCGAGAGGTGATTACCTCCATCGAAACCACGCACGCGAAGAGACTCGAGCGAATCAATTCCCCCAAACAAGACATTTTGTCTCTACTCAAACAATTGAACAAAGCGGTCGACTTCGCTGATAATATAATGAAGAGAAGCTCAAGCACGGTCGTAATGCAAAACAAAGGTACTTTAGAACAGAGATTCGAGGAGTTCCATGTTATTCATCGCGAAGTTCCAAAACATTACGATATTGTCATGTTAAAATTACTGCGGCTACTTTCGCGGGCCCAATACTCGGATCTGTTAAAAGGCAGATGTGAAGAAATCAACGCTGCAAGGAATAGATCAACCTTTAAGGGCTGGTGTAGAAGCATACTTCTTATTGTGCCCCAAAACATCTTCTGGTGAGATATGTGACATGGAGTCAAATCAAATTGAGTTCTGGGTTGGGCCCGCCGATAAAGCGTCAAAGACATCTGTGAACGAGAACGAGGACGGAACATTCATTTAAATTTTACACCCAAAAATGCCTGGAGATTACAGTTTGGAAGTGAGAATAAATGGCGAGAAACTTTCTATTTGTCCGGTAACTGTGCTCGTGAATGAATGTGAGCTTGTTGTGGTCGATGAACCTCATCTGAAATTTTTCCCTGATGACAAACTGCTAGGGCCTTTCGGTATTGCAGTCAATATGGAAGGAACTATTGCAGTGGTAGATCGTGATGGCCAAAGCGTTTATGTATTTGACAGTGAAGGAACCTGTTTGCGAAACTCGGTAAGTTTATCCGACCTCCGGATGTTGTTTTTGTTGATGATGAAGAAAATTTTGTCTCGGATCCTGGTGATCCCAGAATATATCAGTATAATGCACGCACTGGACTTATGATAAAAAAAAAAAATTGGAAAAGTTGGTACAGGAAAGGGAGAGTTTAAAAGCCCAGTTGGACTTTTCATTGATAACAAAGGTCAAATTGTCGTTTGTGACTACAATAATCATAGAATACAAGTTCTGACTAAGGATGGAGTGAATATTTTTACGTTTGGAGACACTGGGCCAGAAAAACTTAGTTATACTCTGAGTTGCATCAGCCGTAAAGACAGATTCTTCGTGTCGAACGCTGACCGCCTTTGCTGCATCAAAGTGTTCGACCAGACAGGACAATTTTTGTAACAAATTTGGAAGTAAAGGAACGGCAAACGGTCAGTTTGGTAGACCTTCTGGTCTGCACATAGACAGGCAGGATTGTCTTCTTGTATGTGACCAGAAAAGTGGCCGACTTCAAAAGTTTTCCCTTGAAGGTCGTTTTATTGGCAAGTGCACCACTCCTGGGTTAATGAACTTGAATGGCGTCAAGGAAATGCCAGATGGACGCATTCTCGTCACCAGCACAAATACTTCGAAAGTGCATGTCAAGATAACAAAGTAGTTACCCATATCATAAAGGTGGCCGGTTTTAGTAAGGAGAATTGTCGATTTTGAGTTGTTACTTCAAGTCAGCTTTGCAGCGGTAAATAGTCGTCGAGACTGAAGGACACTAAACCGAATTTAATTCAACAGTTTATGGATATTAGAGAGTGACCCTCTCTTTGAGTTAGCAATTTAGATTTAGATTTTTCTGCGCGTGCAATCATTAAAAATATGTTTAGTGATGGTTAATTTAACCTGAGTATTCGTCACCTGATGGTTCAAAACTGAGGCAAATAATAACAATATAAAGATCGCTGACCATCCCAGTTTTCTGGTTTACTCTCCTTCTATCAATTTTCGTAACCATCAATTTCTGGATTCAATCTCTTTTCGACACAGGCCCCTTCCAGATAATTCCTTTCCGTTGATTACTATTTGTCTTGAATGCCTGGGGGCGGCTGCGAGTTCCTTCCTTTCATTGCCTGCGAATGCCTTGAGCTTAGAGTGTAACGAAATTCGCTTGACTCCTCCTCTGTTGAAAGGGAATGGAAACTACTGCCATGTAGGCCGTCTAATCGGGCTCGTGGTCCGGCACAGTGAGTCGTATCGAAAGCGAAAACCGAATTATTTACGAGTGACTTTCCTCTTATACCTGAGCAATTAAAGGGAAAGTACTATACCGTTCTGGCAGACAAATTGGAACACGGTAAATTTCTTTTGAGGCTGTAGAGTATTGAGGCACGAAGGTAGAACATCATTTATGGTGATCTTTTTATGAAGTTTGGAATTTAGACCGTTTATCCTTTACTTACTTTTACGAAATAATCTATTCCGTTCTATGCGTAAAGGGGATACGAGCAGAGAGAAGCTATCCTCTCGTACATGCCCATATTAAAATAATACATTTTTTCAATCCAATTTCAGCGCTGGTCTGACTAAGAGGCTATTTTAAGGGTGAACCTTATAGCTCATTGCTAGCTTGTCGTGATGTTAATGTCAAGACATTCGACGATTGACGTGTTTGTGTGATAAAGCACATTTACATCTGATAAGCGCCGCGTCCTTCGATGAGTCTCATGGAAAGGTTGATTTTGAAGAAGAGGACCCCGGCTTTGATTTAAAGTAATTTGATCTTAGCTTACGAATGCTGAAACCCACCGAGGCCATTAGAATCAAACAGCTTTATTAGTTCCGGAAGAACTCAGGAAGATTCCTTGTAGATGTTGACTTGATGGGGTCTATCATTTTGCGCTCCTAGCTCTGCCGGTCGAGATTACAAGAAGGCCAGTAGTGTACATTATCAAAACAATTTAAATCCTCTAGCGCAAGTCCTTGACGCAAAGGAAACTTCTTGCCAATATTTACGGGGTAACAGAGCGGTGGTGCAGTGGTGAGAGCGCTCGCGTTCCACCACTGTGGCCCAAGGTTCGATTTCCGGACCTGTAATGAGATAGGGTTTGAGTTTGTTGTTGGTTGTCATCCTTACTCCGAAGGTTTTTCGGTGGGTCTCCCTCTTTTCTCCCCTCCACAAAATCCAACCTTCCATTCTTACAAAAACGAACAATTTTGATGTTTGACGCGCTCGAAAGGGACAAATTACTGAGAAAAAATATGATCATCGTACTTTTGATGGCTGGACTTCGCACGATTTTCTCGTAGCTTTGTGTGACATTTCTGGAAAGAGAAGTGACGGATACAATCAGCTGATTCTCTCACTTTTACTTGCAGCTCCCGAAGGAACTTACCCAAGAGGAATTAGAGATGCTTTTAGACACTTAGTAAGTAACCATCTCAGCAGAAAGAAAGGTTTTCGCTTTTCTTAAGCAAGACTTACAAGGTAGTTCAATGTGACGGCCGTAGCTCCCTCATCCCCACCCCGCTATCGTTTGTAGGCTCTGTTTGGGGTGGGGGTGGGAGTGGGAATGCGTCGTTTTTCTTTTTTCGCCTGATTCTAAAAGTTCGTGAATATTCGAGACATAGTTCGTGTGGTCAATTTGTCACAACTGACCTATTTTTATTATTATTATTATCTTTTTAACCTGAAACAGAGACAGAGTTTGTAGGGCTTCGATGGTTCGCCCCCTTGAAAAACGTCCTTGAACCCCCCCCCCCAGAAAAACCTTTCTTTTTAAGATTACTTGACTCCTTTACACACAAGAATTAGTAAAGAATTGCACTTATAATTGAACATTCAAGCAATCTAGCATGTCATGGTGTTTTCAAATAACTAGCCACACTTCTGAGTTTGTAACCCATGACATCCCCCCAATAATGATAAACACTTGATTTCTAACCACAAAATGAAAACATCCTCCTAGAAACAGGTGACGAGAATTCACAAACTTATCAGCCAGATGATGTTCTCTGTTTTATTTCTAATTGTACATACACATACATGTTTTAAAGAGAACTTCTGTACTCCTAGGTGTCACGTGTTTAAATAAAGGATTGATTGATTTTCACATATACTACTGGTTTTCAATTTAGTGTATGGCAGCCAGTTCATTCAGGGCTGGGTTAAGATAGCCTAGCGCTAGCATAAAATCAGATTTTAGATCTGAATGCTTTAAGAGAAAATTCAGTACAGTTCTTTAAGTCTACAATTTGATGGCCTAGAAAGAGTATAGAAACCTCTTCAAAAAACTCTTTTGAACAAGGGAATAAAGAAACCAGCATTAAAATTTAACCCTGGGTTAGCATTAAATTTCCTTCAAACAAGTGGGCCCAGATTTCAAGGAATAAATCCTGCGTGCCAGCAGCTGACTCACAAACTACTCAATTTCCTCTATTTTCTGTACCTATTTAATTATTACCATGCAAGTTTACCAAGAAGAGATCTAAATGAATTACAAAATGAAGTGGTGTGGGAAAAAAGACTCTTTTATTCTAAGGTCTTACTTATTGTAATACTCTGGCAGCATAATCAAAATTGTCAGATATAAAAGTGTGCAAAATTAACATGCCACATGCAAAGTTTGAAGAAAGCTAATTGCGATTTCTGAATTTTTAAGGCATGATTTCCCTCCTAAAATATATGTGACCAGTCAATTCTTCTTTCATTTTGTGAAAAGATCAAGATTTCCCTGAAACCGCTAGCACAAAAAGAGGAATTTGAAGTTTTCCCTTTGATACACATGATACATGAATTTTAATAAAATTTGTGGAGGACTCCCCCTTGCTACTCTCTTCATAGTCTTCACACTAGGATTCTAACAAATATGTGTACCCTTGACATGGTAAGTAATGCCTTGAAGATATTATCAATAAAAGTTAATTAAAGATCAATAAAAATAATATTTACCTAATTGCTCTATTTTGTNCACTCTGAGCTAGAACAAAAATCGTGTTCCCTGCACTTTTCTAGAAGATTCATTCCTTTCCCTCCGACAATCACTGTCTATACCTTTTAAAAAAATTATGAATAAGAACAATCGTAATAACAACGCTGGGATGTGATTGTGGCGACAAAAATCATGATATGGTAACCATGGTTTTTACACTTCACGGATTGTACTCTGAGGCGATAATGGCTACGAGTGGGCAGCCATGGATAACTCAGTGTCTCAGCCTAATCAGGCTCCATTAGCAAAGCTTGCTAGCAGGCCCACCGGATTATAGGTGCTTGAGCACGAGCGTTTCTAGGAGAGCCTTTGTGGGAAAGTACAGTGTAAGGCTTTTAGCAACGCGGCCTGGCAAGAGGTGCGCAAGATGTCAAGTGCCGATAGTGATCCTTAGTGCCAGGCCCTCGGCAAACCTCTCCCTTACTCGTTCCAAATCCTCCCAAGGGAAGAGGAACGTGCGTCCTGCCTGCTGCGCTAATAATAAAGGACTCACAGCCTGCCATCAGCAACGCACAGCTAACACGATGGCGAATTAAATGGGCTCACCGCATAGTTGTATGTAGAGAGATACGAGTATTTCTTTGTCTTTCCCACAATTTACGTAGTCGATTCAAGAAGTTCAAATTTGATTGGATGAGTGGTTGATGAGAAAACTGACTCTCGGACAAGTAGTCCTTTCTTCCGAAAAAGGGGCTTCTTCATGAGCAACCTTTGTGTGGATTAATGTACACTCGTGTCACCCGTGTTAACTTTTTCTTGCTTACCTCACGACTATCTGCTTTTGTTTTCAGGTAAAGGAAGAAGGAGTTGCGAGTTTATTCAAAGGAGTCACTCCAGTCTTACTACGGGCTTTCCCTGCAAATGCGGTGAGCCAGTTGATCTATCTACAGAAAAGATTTGAATGAAATCTGTTACTATTGCTAGGCATGGAAAAGGGATGGCTATAAGGTGTTGACGTGGATTAGGTTATTAAGAGAGTAACTTTCAATCGAATTTACCTCGCTGTGCGATTGGTCCAGAAATCTCGCGCCATTCTCTCAACCAATCAGATACAAACTAAAATCCATCATGATTTGGTTCTTCGCTAAGAGTTACGTTTCCCGCGCTTTAGGTAGTTTAGTTCTTACTTTGAGTTCTTGTAGGTTCTGAACCTCGGTCTGTGATTGGTCCAGAAAAC